GTTTTTAAGACAGGCTTTCACTACACAGCCTGGTCCAGCTTCCAACTCAGCTCTCCCTGCCTCGACCTCCTGAGTGCTAGGAATACAGGCACGGGTCAGGCCACCAGGGTCACAGTTAGGGCTTCGGTCTCCTCACCGTAAGGGGCCGGGTCAGGCTGATCCACAGAGCAGATCATCACTGTGCTCTCTGCAGGAGACTCTCGGCTCCCTGTGCCCCGCACTCTGCATGCACCATCTAGTTCTCACAGCAATACTTGCATCTCAGGGGCGTTGTTCCACACTGAAGCTCAGGCGGGGCGGGCTTCAGCTAGACTCTGCAGCAGGTGCACCCGCCCCCGATGCTGTTCTCTGGACCACTTCCCCTTAACTCCATCAGACGGCCTGGGAACCAGCTCATCATTGAATGGTGCTAATGTGTATAATTGGAACCCACGCAAGAGGTGCAAAACAACAAACCAACAAAAACATGCACAACTGCTCCCGGGATCTCCCTGTTCATTCATTTTATCGCCTGTCACGGTGTTAAAGGTCACTCCCCTGAAGGCCCTGGCTGGAGGGTCTGCCCTGGTCACCCCCTCCACCTGCCTGGGACTCACAATGATGTCCCCGCCTTTGACAAACTGCAGGCGCATCTGGAACACGGTGATGTCCAGGAGGTAGATGAAGTCACACAGGTAATCCATCAGCAGCCAGAAGTGGATGTTGTCTGGCTGCTGGTACGGGAAGGCCCACCGCACAGGAATCAGCCAGCAGTTCCAGTTCCAGGCCAGCACCACGAAGAACAGCCACAGGATGTACATGAGGTCTGAGGGGGACAGGGACAGACTTGAAGGCCAGCAAGAGAGGGCGCTTCACCCGGGCAACCGCGTGTGGTTCAACCATGTGATTTCATCACATGGAAGACAGACAGATGGGCGGACAGGTGGATGAGCGGGTGAGTGGATAGGTGGACATGGCGGTCACTGACAGGCCCTGAAAGAGTCTTCTGAGGAGGGGGCATGGTGGCATTTTTGGATAACAGATGGCTAAGTGAAAGATCCTTTTGCTTTCCACCTTTACATTTTTTTTTATTACATTCATTTATATATGAGAGGGTGGAGCATCAGGGTACCAGAGAGCATTTTGGAGGTCAGAGGTCAACTCTCAGGAGCTTATTCTTTTCTTTCACCACGTGGCTCCTGGGGATGGAGCTTAGGTAGCCAGGCCTGGCTGGCATCTTTACCCACCGAGTCACCTCACCAGCCCATGAACAGTTTTTGACAATACATTTTCTATCTTAGGAAATCCAGAGAAGTAAATAACACACAGGGGATGGACAGATGGATGGGCACACAGGTGGGTGGATGTACGGACAGACTAGAGATCACTTGGTATCTTAGAAACCCAGTAGACACCAGGGTGACCCCTGAGTGACTCCCTGTTTAACTTCAAAGAAGTTCCTCTCTGGCACCTGCCTTGATCCTGTCAAAGTCACAGGAAATGACCAGCCGAGGAGACGAGGAGCTCCGGTGTGAACTGTGAAGTGCGGTGCACATGTGGAGGATGGTGGACTGGAGGACTATGGGATGGGCTTACAGAGGATCTCGGGAATTCACTTCAGACTATGATGAACTCCACCCTGCTCTGAGCCCACACAGCCAGGTTAGAAACAACACTTGGCCAAGGTCAAGGTGAGGAGTTTAACGGGCTGTATTTCAGGTAGTTCATTCCTCTGTGCCTCAGCTTCTTCATCTGTAAAATGGGTGTGGCCTATGTTCCCAACCTGGGGACTTGTGCTAAAGAACCAGGCAAGCACCCGCGGAATCATTTTGGAAAGTACAAGGAATCATGAACCAAGGATGTCCATGGGATTGGACCCTGCCTCCCTTCTCATGGTGCATGGGGGGGACCCCTCCAAGGGCACTCACTGGTCAGTGGGTCGATGCTCTGGGGGAACCGGTACATCTTCCAGGGCCTGCGCTTGAACTTGCAGCAGAGCATGTCACAGTAGTGTTCCTCCTCGGCTGCCTCTGCCTCCGCGGGCTTCTGGGCTGGGGCTGGCTCTGGAGCCTTCTTGGCTGGGGCTGTGGGATGACATCAGTGACCGTCTGACCCAGCCCTGAGGCTTTATAGAGGGTGTAAGGAAAAGGGTCCCACCCACAGAGCTGGGACAGCAGGGTCTCCACACTTCCTGACGCACGACTTGCTCATAAACTCTGAGTGCAGAAGCCAATAGGCTCCTCCGGAGAGAACTCCATGGTCCTCCCTTCCACAGCAGTCTGGGGTCCCTGGCAGCTCTTCCTAGACCCAGCCAGGAGGTGCTCCCCGAGAGCATGCTTCATCTCAGTGTCTGTCTGTCTGTCTGTCTGTGTGTCAGAGGACCCCTTGCTCCTTTGGTGGGCAGGGCATTTTGTGTCCATGCTCCCATCTTCCTTACTCAGAATGCTGAAGGATTCAACCAACTTGGGGACATGTTGATTTGGACTTCTCAGAGTAGGACTCAGCTCCATTATCTGGCTGGGATTCAGCCTCCCGTGGGTCTGTGACACTGTGCCTTGGCTCTTAGGGGTCCAACACAGCTGTGTTTCTAGTGTTAGGAGTGTGAAGTCAGTCTCTGATAACCTGTCTTGGGCATTTGGGTCCCAGTGTACAACCCTTGTCAGAAAAACCTAGAAAATATCCCTGACAAAAAGCTTGTTTGTTGGGCTGGGTACAGTGGCTCACACCTTTAATCCCAGCACTTGGGAGGCAGACACAGGTGAATCTCAGTGAGTTCAAGACCAGCCTGGTCTACAAAGTGAGTTACAGGCCAGCCAGGACTTACACAGTGAGACTCTATTTAAAAAAGAAAAAGAAAAGAAAAACATGTTCGAGTTCATTCTTTCACTTTCTTTGTCTGTCTTTGTTTCTGTTTCTGATAGTATCTCACTATGTAGTCCAGGCTGGCCCCAAACTTGTGATTCTCCAGCCTCAGGCTCCCAAGTGCTAGGGATTCTAGGCATTTATCACCCTGCCAGACTTCTCCGTCAAGGCAGGAGACACTTGAGCAGCTCACTGGTTCACACCTGTAATTCCAGCATGTGGGAGGATTGCCATGAGTTCCAAGCCAACCTGGGGCTACTGGGTGAGTTCCAGACCAGCCGGGGCTATAGAAAGAGATCTGTCTCAATAAAGAAAAAGAACTATACAGCTGGCCCCAGCAAGGCATGAATGCCTCTGGACATAAACACTGCCTGCTGCCAGGTGGTGCTGCCAGGCGCCTTTGATCCCTGAACTCAGGAGGCAGACCCAGGAGGATCTCTGAGTTCGAGCCTAGCCTGGTCTATAAAGTGAGTTCCAGGACAGCCAGAGCTATGGGGGG